CCTTTAAGTAATATACCATGCATGAATAGTTCGTGGTTGAGGCAAGTATAATATGCCTTAGTAAAGAAAAAGCCTTTGGACAGGTATGTCACTGAGCTGTCCTAACTGTCTAAATTCCTTTCTGTATAGTGAGAAGACAAAAGGAATGTTGTGCACACTTGATAACAATGCAAGCATTCAATAATAAAACCAGATTTTTGGTCTCTAGAGATTTATAAGAGGCCAAATGTTTGACACAAGGTAATCCAACACATGCAAGGGCAAAAGAGCGCAGATGTGCTATGTCAAAGATGAACATTTAGTAAATAGTCTGTTTTAGACAGTAACTATTACAAATTACTCAGTAATTGATTGATTACAAATCTGGGGAACATGAATTTTATTTGAGTCTTTATATTTTTGTATGCAAGACCTTTACTTGTGACAGTATGTCTACACTATAATATTCTACTTTTATTTTATTAAAAGATACTTCATCCAAATCTTAGACTCATTTGTAGTTCCCAAGATCTAAATGCAGGAATTTCCGAGAGAGACATTAACAAAATAAAAGTCTTAAAAGGATATGTCAGATTCTTTCAAGTATTGCAAAGACATCGGTAAAGTAGATGATGATTATTACAATAGAGGCAATAGTGGCTTTTTGCAAACCCTAGAGAGCTGCAGTGTGAAGAACCAACTGTGCCTCTTTCCACTCTGTGATCAGGGTGACTGTTGAAGCATACAGAACATTTTCCAGGCTTCAACTCCCAGGTGTCTTGTAGCCCCAGGATTCCACGCAAGTAGTCAGCCAGGCTGCCTTGGTGAATGCACTAATGTGACACCATAATCACACACAGGTGCATTTTTGTGCTTCACAGAGCAACAGCAGCGGGCTGTTAGTGGAAGCAGGTGCATGCACTGGTGTGTGTCGCGTAAACTGTACATTTTATTTGAGTGTATGAAAGTACTGCATCATGTTTACATTTAGTGTGTAAAAAAAAATGACCTCATCACTCAAATAAAAAACATTAAACCATTTACGCTTTTGCAAAGTTCTGCCTTTATTTTTTTAGTGAATGAAGCTTAACAGAGGGCACTGCAGTGGGAGTCAGATCTGAACAGACACCTCCACCTGCTCTGCAGTATTACACACTATGATGAGCCACACACACGCACTCACACACTCACACAGACACAATGGGTTGCCTTCCCACCAGTCCAATAACAGGCCTATTTATTAGAGTCTCTTACAGACGGTATTGACAACCTGCTGACACAGTCACTCCAGCATAAACAAATGGAGCAATAGAGAAGAGAAAGGAAAGGAAGAAGTGTAGAGAGCTGATATAGTGGCATGACGGAGGAGTCCTCTCCACAAACCAGGAGTGAGCAGGACATAAAGAAAGAAGTGAGAAGAAAACAAGTGCTTCTTCTATTGCCAATTATATCTATCCACATGCATAGACCCACATCATCACACACAAACAATGCAGTTTTCTTTCAGATGAGTTTCACTGTGACCTTGCACACTAGATCACTTCTGGGATATGTGATCTATTTTAAATTAGGATTATGGAAATAATTCTTTCTCAATGAGTGCAGTGCCACATTGAGGAGCTATTGAAAGGTACACTGGGTCAAGTGCAGTGAACTCTCATCACAAAGCACTAATCACAATCATCCAGACGCTTGTCAGAAGAAATGTTCTGAATGAAAACAGAATATTCTGCATAACAACTAGCTGCAATTTAGAGCCAGTGTCCCTGATGCTATGAAAACCAAGAGTGCACATTGAGTTTTAACTAAACAACCAATTTAGCCTTGAGTTTGCAGATTAGTTAAGTGAGAATTACAGTTCACAGGTGCCAAATGTTCACAGGTGCCAATGTTTCACGGCGGAAGGCTCAAATTCATTTTGCACCAAAGTCTTCCAGTTATAACTTGAATATGCAAAGAAGCCGAACGGAACAAACTGTGCCATGCATACCAAATATCTTGCTCATTAAGAGCTATAATTACTGTGTCATTTTGACATAAACAAAGAGAGCAGAGCAGTCATGAAGAAAATGGGAGTGAAAAACTGCTGACGTGCTCAAAGACGCATTCTCCTGTGTCTCTTGAGCTGACCTGTGGAACCAGGTGAGTGCAGCCCGTTAGAGGAGGGGGGGGGGGGGGGGGGGGGGGTTGCAGAGCTCGTTGAATAGAATGAGCAATCACTATGCAGACAGGTGAACAGATTTGATGAAGACAGATGGGGCTGTAGTGGGCACACAGACAAAAAGACAAAGAGACATATAGACTGCACGGCCCTGAGCTCCGGAGGTCAGCTCTGACTTCAACAGACAAGAGAGGTAAGACAATTCAAACATGAACTCATCATGACTGAGGTTCCCCAAAACACTTTGGGATGGAGGTGACAAAATGTCTCAGGAATGTTTGTCCGACCATCATCATGCGTCACTTTGGGTGACAGTGAGAAGACATTATAGACGCTTCTTATCTAAAGCGGATTCCACACAGGAGCTCCCTCCAGGCGAGCTGAAACGGTAGGAGGATTTTTTAGACAACATGGCGGCTAATCACAATGACACCACAGTCAATCGAGAAGCTCTACGTCAACGGCAGCCCGGCGATCATGTTCTCTATTAGCTTTCCATTGTTCTCTTGCAGCTTGGCTCTGTTGTCTGCCTAGATAACGCACAACCATTTTATACGCAAACGCATACACTGCATCAGCAGCAGCCCCATACCCCCAACTTGGTGCAGAGCCCATGTCAGGCAGAGAGATTTGCTGGCTGCACGCGGCTTTGTATAGAGCTCACGGTACAGCACAACCACACATCCTTTGCTATTATCAGCATCAGGACTGTCATCGCTATCACAGCGGCCAAAGACCTCCGCCAGGGGCCCGGGTTGCCTACAAAGCTAGTTATCATGGACTAGTGAATACAACGAGAAAGACAGAGCCGCACTGGGAAAGGTTGTTTTCTCAAGGTCATACAAAACAGAGGACAGGGAAAGACTAATAGCCATACCGACACAGCTTGAATGAGGGGATGTGGTTTACCCTGGCGTACTCACACCTGCGCTCACATATCACATTTTATTATCAATTTGTTTTTAATGATATATAGTGCCATTTGTCTGTGATATGATATCACAGCCTTGCAGATTTATATCAGTGAGCTGAATCAGGAAATGTGCTGATTGGAGGTCCAGATCAGCCAGCATCAAAATTGTAAAGGTCATTACAATGACATTACCCTTTTCAGAGGAGGAAAGCCAGAAATGTCAAATCGCTCAGCAGCCACATCATCGCTCAAATAGAGCAGAATGCTAGGCACTGGAAAATCTCATGTTCGGACGGAAGTAATGTAAGAAGATACCTATCTAAGTGACATCTTAATGAAGAACACTCTAGGTCAGCTTTTTTGGCAGATGTTGAGAAAAATACACAGATTTGGTGAATCTGAGCCACAGTACATTACCACTGTTTAAACATCATTCAGTCTGCGGGGTGTACAACGGACGTACATATTTGGAGCATTTGGAATTCATGGTGCAACAGAAGTCACATTCCATGTTTTATTACTGCTACAATAACTGTAGTGCTAACAGGTCAAATAGACGCACTTTAATAACTACCCTTAGCTCAAACCATTGCTCTCATAAGCTAGTCTACCTACTGTTTGTTAAAGTGAGACAGCTGGGTGAGGGCTCATCTCAGCCAAATGTCAATTACGGGAGCAGCTACCACCTGGACTCTGATCAAGACAGTGCTTGTCTGTTAAATGAGGCTCAAGACAGGAACATGTTCCCTTTTGTCCAGTGGCATAAACTGTAAATACAAAATGACAAAGTAAAACAAGTAACAGGGAAAATTGTAAGAAAGTTATCTATTTAACATAAACTTTACTAACTGCCCTTGAGCCTTTAGCTCACAGGAATCTTTCAACGTGCACACTTCAACTCCCAACTCGCACACCTCCGACAACATGACTCCCTATAATCATTAGAGATGTCTGCTTAAAAACTATGCCTGCCGGGAGAGCACAGGAGCAGAGCTGCGTCTGAATCAGCCCAGGCATGCGTTAAAACAAAGTGGCCTCTCCGGCAGAGAACACAGCAACACACACAGTTGAAACAAATGCACTCACTTTCACCTCACACAGTCTCACACACAAACACAAATGAGAAGATTATCACAAGCTGACACGCACTGCGTTGCTTATTAAACACGTACACGCATGTTCTTTTTGATCCTATCCTCAAAGCAGCACACCCAGGGTTGTTTGCTGGACTTACAGTGGCAAGCTCCCATCCCCAGTCGAACAAGCTGACTATGTAGAGCACAGAGACCACACAGAATCCCCTCTCTCATACATGGCCACTATGAGACCAGAATACTAAAGAAGAAAGTGCTTGATGACTAAGAACAAAACAACCCTGTTAAATATCTAAAAGCTCAACTATGCTGTAAACCAAGCGCCAAATAGTTTGTCTTTTTATGTTTAACTTTAATGGCATTTGTGTAATGACCTGTTTGCTTATCATTGGTAAGCAGGTTTAAAGGAATGGTTATGAAAAAAAGTGGAACAAATACCCTAAAGAAATACATATGGACTCAAAGAATTCTGTCAGAATTATTTGTATACATTTGCAATTTACCAGTTATCAGAAGGAAGGTATGAAACCATCTTGGTCACTTCTTTTAGCAGGACATGGAGCCTGGTCACGTGACCAAACATCCTATAATGACACAGTCCAAACCAAACACTTTGACCTTCCCTGTCATCACTCACGCCTGCCATATTAATGGCACACTAATATTGTAATTACACCGATAACCATGATTTAAAGGTTCATACCAATGCTCAGTATTGACAGATGTCTGTGTGGAATGGAAACTAAACAGAACACACTATTAATAAAGAGCTGCTGGTGTCCAATTTGAAGTAGGGATTAGTGATCACGATTGACCTCTCCAAAATCCCATGCACCGAAAAGCTTAAACTCACCCAAAATCATGATGTGTGTTGCCTTTGGTGTCCCTGGGTTGACAAGTGTTCCCTCACTGCCCCCGTCTCGCCTGATTTCGCCAAGGGACAATGGCTCCAAAATCTCTTTTCAGAGTTCCTCTCCACACTCCAGAAAGAGGCAACTCAGAGAGGCAGCACTAGATGTGAGGAGAGACTGCTGCTGCTGATGCACATGCCGTCCCTTGCGTCTGCTCTCTCCAGGTGAAAAGCTGAATGTGTGTGTGTGTATGAGAGAGAGACAGAGAGAGCACAAGTGTGTGTATGTGTGTGTGGAGGAGGGGGGTCCAGCGTTTCTGCAGTTGTGGCTCAGGTAAGCCTGAGGACAGTATGGAGGGGGTTAGTAGCAGAGAGGACAGAGAGAGAGAGAGAGAGAGAGAGAGAGAGAGAGAGAGAGAGAGAGAGAGAGAGAGAGAGAGAGAGAGAGAGAGAGAGAGAGAGAGAGAGAGAGAGAAGAGGGGAGTCTGAGAGAGAAGGGGGAGCCTAAAGTGTGGCAGCCAATCACAAGGGGAGGCTACAAAGCCAAGATCTTCTTCTCCACAGCAGTCAGGAGGAATTGCAGTGGTCTCCAACATACAGCTGTCAAGCGGTTTCTTCTTAACTGTGTCATTTCACGGCGAGCTCCAGGGGAGAGGTCTTCAATTCACTGTAATGCCGACGTCTGATTTGGTCTCTCTCAGTAAAACACAAACTCCCTTTCCCACTCTGGCTGTTTCTCCTCTCTATGCTTCTTGTTTTTGGGGTTGGGTATAACCTACAGGCACCTTACATGCCTCTGCTCTGATTGGTGGCAGCCTCGACCAATGGCAACAGCAGCAGACACTTGTCATCATGCAGAGTGGAAGTCATGAAGGAGCGACGGAGCTTGACTGGAAATGTCTTCTCCCCCAACCACTGTTTATCCCTTTCATTTCCCCTATTTTCTCAGCGATCTCCGCCTGATGGAGAGCTTGATTGTCAGATCTGTTTATGTGTTGTTCTTAATCCAACCTCTCTGTCCTTTGACTCCACGTGTATGAGGACTTGTTAAAGGATTAACCTTTTATCTGTCTGGCTCTGTCCTTCTCCCTTTTCCTCCCTCCATTTCTTAACCTGCCCAGGCAAGGTTACGCATTTTACCAACCACTGTTTTCATCAAAGGGATGGAATTGGGAGTGGAAGGGGGGCGGCAAGTAGAAAGGAGAGATGGAATAGAAAGCGACAGAGCGGAGGAAGCAGAATAAGGAGGGGCAAAGATTAAACTAAATACAAAGTGACAGAGGAATGAAGAGACCTGGAGTGACAAGAAAAGACAACCGGGAGGATGCAATACAGAGACAAAGACAGACCGAGTCGGACACAGCAGACGGGCTGCAGAGAATTAAACTGTGGACCAAAGCAATGCAGCAACTAATTGGAGAGTAGCTTTACAGCCAGCTTCTTATGGTCCACTTCCTCCACACCAAGAAACCACTCAAACAACGTCTGCTGTCATGCCCAAGCATGACTCTTTCACTCTCCAGTTCCCCCTGTGAAGAGGCAAGATAGCCAGAGAGAGACCTTTGAAAATCACACAGCCACGATGTAATTGAGGAGCTCAATGCTTAAGAAAAGTCTTAACAAAGCTGTCAAAAAATTAATCCCCTTGGGCAGGCATGCTTGCAAACACACAGATACAAACACGTGAGCCCTGGGGCTACAGAAAATGCTGCCTGATGTTCATATAGCCTCCTCTTGTCCTGCTCTCTCTTTCTCTTTTCCATCTCTACCCCCCCCCCCACCCTTCTCATGCTCTCAGGCTGAGGCTGTGAGTCACAGGGTGTTGGAGTGAATACTAAGGAGGCTGGCTGACACCTCCAATACCTCTCCGAACAGCAGCTCTACTGCACATATTTACACCATTGTATGTAAACATTGGTAGACTTAGGGGCCACAAACACCCACACAAAATCTTGCAGATTATAAACTTATATGGTGCTCTTTACAAAGGTGAACAAATCCTACCCCATTCAAAACCGCCACCAGTGTCTAACACCTGCAGCAGTAATAAGCAGATTTACATAGAACATAATGAACTCACAGAAGTGGAACAAATATTTGATAGTGCCAAAGGATAAACACACAGATCAGAAAAGGAATTTGTGCCTGTGGCTCCTGGGATCAAACACACAAACACACATAGTGTCTTCAGGAAATGGACTGGGCGCTGAGAATATTAGTTTTTGAAAATGGGTCACTTCCAGCTGGAACTAAAGTTATCATCAATACGGCTATGCGTGCAAGTCCTTCCATGAGCATTTGTGTGTGTGTGTGTGTGTGTGTGTGTGTGTGTGTGTGTGTGTGTGTGTGTGTGTGTGTGTGTGTCAGCAAAAGAGCTGAGATAGGGTTTCCTCATTAGTTGTGTTGGTATCAATAATTCAGAGCGGTCCTTGTTGGCGTTCAATGGGCCGAGTGCTAATGTGCTGTCGGGCCAACGGGGGCCCAGGGCCCCGCGCCACTTTAATGGATGTCATGATGAGAGGGTGAAATCGGAGCAAGGAGATCCTGTATCATCCATAGGTAAGAACGGGGAGGGGGTCAGAGTAGAGAAGTGAGGAGACAGGGGTGGGGGTGAAGGCCACTGGTGGGAGGACAGATGGCATTATGGGACAGGTAAATTAGAGAAGTGATGGAGAGAAACAGAAAGAAGAAAAAGGGAAGAGGGGAGGACATTTTACTATTTGGTCCCTCCATTTGCCATTGGCTACAGATCAATGGATGATGTGCAAAACTTTCAACTTTGAATGGGCAGACATCATGAGACCTATACTAAGTGGCCACAGGGGGTATATCTCAAATGAATAATGAACTAATATTATTTAATTTACATTCACTTGACTTGCTAGAGCTACCTTGCTCACAAATGCCTTCAAACGTGAGTAGAGTATCTGGTAGCGCTTTTTTTTCCAGGTCTGTAGCCAAAAGAATTTCCAAGAAAATATTAAAGAACAGTTCGAAACACTAATTTATTATCATTTATATATGTTGAACTGTATGATGAACAAAGACAAATTGTCCATGTTTTGCTCGTTCAGCTAACCTGCTCTTCACTTAACACAATATTATGTTAGCTATCCAGCTATTCTTTGTAATTAATTGACATTTTGTATGAAAGTACAAACTTACTTTTTTTATTTCAGGAAACTTTTAATGAAATGTGTAAGATTTCTATTTACTATTAAAAACGAGTAAAACAAAAACACTGTAAAGCAAAATACAATATGTTGGCCCTGAGATGAAAATCACTGGACAAATCACAATAACAAAATAGAATGGACGGACAAATTAACCTGTATTTAACTAAGCTTTAGGGGACGCCAGTACAAGAAAGGCTCCAACTTTAAGACAACAATATGAAATATACATATAAGTCTTTCATTTTCTTTCTTATTATGCTATGTCCAATATGGTTGAGGTTTGCATCTCTGGGCCATCATATTGGATGATTGGGAGGGAGGTGGAGGAAGTCCAATGGAATCCACTAACGTACATTACTTTCTCACCTTGCTGCTTGAGCAAGGCAATACTGGTCAGCAACCTTTTCACCCACACACACATGCAGACAGGCTTGGTTTTGTTATTTGTGTATTGACTTATCCTCTGGAGGCTTATCCTACCATGACCTTAAGTACCACATGGCCTTTACTCTACCTTTGCCCTCAGTTTAACATGAGCCTAATTCACTAATACGAAATGGTCACCCTTGATAGAAGCAGCTTTTGTCCAGAGATTGAAGGTAAACTCCTACTGTTTGAATAATACAAGCGAATATATATAAGTATAAAAGCCAAGAGAGAGGACTCAACAGTCTGGAAACGTCTGCTGAGTATGGATGGTGATATGTGGTTAACTGTGCTGCCCTCTGCTGGTCTACACATGTCAACACAGAATTAATTCACTGTAAGCAGACTATTGAAATATGTCTAAATATTACAGCTTTAGTGACCCTGGTATAAGGCAGCAGTCTTGACAAATGTAAACTGAGAGGCTAGTCTGTTTCTAGAGTCATGTCAACACACGGTTAAATAAGGAAACCAAACAGACGAGGCACAGCTGGTACAGCATTGATGTGCTGTCAGACTGGAACATAAATACCTTACTCATGCAGAAAACTATCTTTACATCAGACTTGACAAAGCTGCTGAGGCCAGTATCCTTTCTGTAACTAATGTTATGGGCAGAATGGTGAATTGGGCAAAGTGCACTGAGCCTGAGTGCAGCAGGTCAAATGTGAAAGGATAACTGCTGAGTGTGAAGGACTAATAAGGACTCTGCTGATGTGCAGCAACAGCCTGGGATAGATTTATCAAACCTGAGGGAGAAAGACATCAAACTCCTTCATTCATAATTCTGTGATCTGTTTTCTTCATTCTTTCCTGCAAAGAAAAATACACAGTAAATCTACACTCACTGAAATCTGCTAGAGAGACTTTAACTCACTTCCTCACAACAGCTAAAACGCTGTGTCAAATGCGACCGCTGTAGATCATAAATTCTGGTCGTATTTCATAAGCCCGGGCCCGCAGGCGGTATGAGGCTTTCCAGAATCGTTAGTTCACCCTTTTCTTCTTCTGTAGTGTGTTTGTATGGTGTAATAAAAAATCCCCCGTCCCCACCCAGGTCAAATGATTTCCTTTGGGTATCTGCTGGCACTGTGGTGGGGAATTTAGAGAGTGCCTATGAAGGTCAAAGGTGAGGAGGTAAGGCAGGCCCCAGGCACCAGCATACCTGCACATCCCCGCATAATGTGGCAACGCATCACCTAGAGCTACCAGATAATAAATCACACTTCATTAGATATTTCAATCTTAAGAAACGTTAAAGGAATCATCCTCATATTCACCAAATATTGAGCCTGTTGTGATCACGCTTTATCTAATGGTTACATTGGGAGCGTGCATAGCATATAACAAGCCAGCTCAGTACAAATGGAAGGACCTCTGCCTTCCCCTTGAAGTGGCCTGAGCCTGCAAGTCTGACAGCTAGCTGTTGAGCATATCCGTTTTCAGCTGTGAGGGATAATCATCTCACTAAATTTAGACTATTGATCAGGTGTGGACATGTGCAGGAAATGTGGCAAGCTGTACAGTTTGTCTGCTGTGCATTCCTTTCCCACCAGGAAAAACTAATAAATCAGGATAAACATGTTTCGATTGTTACACGTGGAATTTTTGTTTCCTTATAAACTAACTCAGGATATGGTTATAAATTAAAATATCCCTTCTCGTAAAAGCTTTTCCTTCTTCGAGTTACATCAAATGATTTCTGAGTGTTTATCACTCTTAGGGGTTCTCAGATCAAATGGTGAACATT